CTACCAGAGCTCCTATAGTATATATAGTAAGTATATATATATATATTGCTGTGTTTAATTTTTTTTAGGACAAAAAGTCACTATTCATGACAAAACAGAAATTAATCTGGTCTCATTTCGTCGCACAATTTATCTTGCTATTCAGTCAAGGTAAGATGCCATTTTCTTGTCGGATAGATCAAGGATGCATTTTAAAATCTGATGACAGAATAACTAGGTACACAGGAAATGTCAGGCTGCCTAACTCTTTACCCCCATCCCAAGCTCAAGCTCATAAGCTGCACGAACAAGTTTTTTCACTTATTTAGAAGGTTACATAATTAAAAGTTTATAGTTTTGTGATTTCTTATGATTTATTTTAGAGCTAACTAGTATTTAGTTATTTGATACAAATATAATGTTATTTTTCCTGATTCTGGTTCTAATCAGAGAAGTGCTGTTACAATAACTATTTTTCACTGATATGCTATGCAGGTAAAAATAATTTAAATAAAAAGTAATTAAAGGAAGGTTTTGAGGAATCCTTGAAATAATGGTAAGTAAGAACAACTATGATACCATGAAAACAAAACCTATTCCCTTTGAGGCCTGAGAGTTTGGTTTTAAAGAGAAATAAATGAGACTGTTAATTGCTTAATGCATCTGTTGTTTTGTGTTAGAATCAGCATACTGAGTTAGTGGACACAGTGTTTACATTTTATACTGCAAGAGGATTGTTTTCTCAGTTTTGTTTTGTTACTGGGTTTTATATATTTCCGTTAAGTATGATGTAATAGCAGGTGATGATTCATAAGTAAGAGTCATCTTGTTTTCATTCTGTCTGAAAATTTTTTGGCTTTAGGTTCATCTTCAAGTAGAAGAATGTTAAACAGCAAAACATTGGTTGGAAATGCTTTGGCTATTCTTACTTATTTCTTTACTTTTTACATGAAAGAGAAAATTATTAAATTTTGTTTTTCCTACATAAAGTGGAAGAGGAGAAATTGTTTTATTAAAAATAAGTATTCTTTAAATTGTGTTTGGGCTTTAATTTGTTTGTCCTTTTCTATACATCCAATGGTAATTGCTTGTTAACAGCAGACTTACTATTTTAATACTGCTATTAACATTAACAGCTCTGCTGGTATAGTGGATAAGGCACTTGACTGCTAACCAGAAGGTCATTTGTTCAAACCCACCAGCTGCTCTGCGGAAGGAAGATGGAGCGATCTACTTCCGTAAAGATTTACAGCCTGGGAAACCCAGTGGGGGGTCAGGATGGGTTGGAAATGACTCAATGGCTGTGAGTTTGTTTTTTGTTAACATTAACTTTGAAGAGTTATAGTGAAGTTCTTTAAATCATTTTTTTAAAAACACAAGGAAAATTTAAGCATCAAGAGACAAGTGACAGCCACTTGTATATAATTGCACCAATCCTGGTAGTAATAACCTTATGTGTTAATAGTTACATATATATTTTTTAAACTTTATATATGACAAAGTATTACTATACTTAAAAGATCATACAGATTTATAGAAAGAAACACAAAGACCTCAGTGGAAAGATGTTTAAAGGCTATGAGTGGAAGATTTAGATAATGGGATTATAAAACATAATGAAATATGTTAATTGTCAAACAGTATTACTGTAGTGAAAGAAGTGTCATTATTTGGTCATTGAAATTGCCAAAGTGATTTACTTTCTTTTGTTTTTTAGAGCAATAGTACTCAATAATAATGCTGATGCTGTGAGATATACCTAAATAATTATTGGTAGGAATTTAAATTGATAGACTCTTTATGGAAAGTCGTTTTGTAATCTGAATCAAGTCCTTACATATCTATGCCATTTGACTCTTTCTTTTTCTTCCCTTATTATATTTCCTAAAGAAGTAAGTTTTGTATGTTCCCATTAAGTATGATATAATAGCAGTGATGAGTCCATAAGTAAGAGTCAGAAAATGTAGAATTTTCACTGAAGAAAAGAGAAAATCTTACTGTCCAACACAATCAGTTAAAATACCCAATTTATGCTACCATTGAAAATGAGGTTAATGGAGAATTGTTGCTGATTTGTGCAAGTGATCTGATAAAATGCTAGGGGCTAAAAGAGTGCCTGTAGTGCTATCTGAATTACATTAATAAAGCCAAAAACAAACCCATTGCTATGGAGTCAACTCCAACTCATAGCCAACCTTAAACTACATAGTAGAACTGCCCATAAGGTTTCCAGGGCTGTAAATCTTTATGGAAGCAGACTGCCACATCTTTCTATCACTGAATGACTGGTGAGTTCAAACCTTTTGGTTAGCAGCTGAGCGTGTACTGTGCCACCAGGGCTCCTTATTGTGTAAATAGGTAGGTGAATGCTAGAAACAACATCAACATGATTGTCTTGAGGGAAAGTTGGATTATAGATTTTTTTAATGCCTATTTTTTACTTCTCCATAAATCTTCTCATTATATGTTGTTGTTGTTGTTATGTGCCATCAAGTCGGCCCCGACTCATAGCAACCCCCTCCTTGGGTTTCTGAGGCAGTATCACTACGGAAGTAGGATTGCCCAACCTTCCTTCCAAGGAGTGGCTGGTGGGTTTGAACTGCCAGCCTTCTG